ATTAGCCCACCCAAAGGCATGCATGTAAAAGTGATTTTGTGAGTAACGGTGAAATAAAGAGTGATTTGTTGTTTGTGTGGCTGTCAGCTCTTTGCCTCTGTCACTAGCTAGCTGTAACCCTTCTTGGTCCCATAACCCCAAATGGATATACAATACAATACATAACTAAACCCTAGCTGGTCCATACAATCTATACAATATCATGTTCAGATCATGTAGAGCAGTCTTCACTGTTAATTATCAAAACATCATACTGAATCAGCACATGCTCCTGTGGACCTTGCCTGACTGAATGCAAATGGACATTGGCTCTTATATAGGAGTTTACTGCACAAGTGATGCTGCCTTTTAGTGTGTGGAGCAACACTGACACACTGTGGAGGGCTGTGGTAAGACTCATTAGCACTCACTAGAGGGTTGTACAAGGTAATGTCTCAAAGGATTAAAGGGTGAGCCGACTGTGAAATTACTGTCTTACAAACAAAACACGTGCAACAACAACAATAATGTAGACTGTAATGGCAACTTCTTCGTCTCCCTCCCTTAAACTTTGCCCAGTATGAACTCATAAACTGTTTAAAATGTTAAATAATTCATGCTGTGTTTAACCTTTTTTTTTCTTGTTTAAAATACAGTATGCACTTTCTGTTAGCTAGGATTTAATATGCAAAAGTTATCTCAATGTACGCAGATCTTTTTTTCTTCTGCATCAATAACAATGATTTCAATAGTGCAATCAATGGCCTTCATGAATTCTTAGTAACATCACAGTCGTGACTAAATCTAAAACTCTTTACCAAAGTCTGACTGTGTTTTCAGACCTATTTAGGGCCAACGGAAACCTTCCTTTGAATTTCCTTTGAAACCAACCAAACTACGTTTTACTGTTCCTCTTAATGTCAATTTAGTTATATAATCAGTGCACAAAAACATTTCAGTGTAGTGCTCAAAAAGCCTTTAGTATTACTGTCTATTATGTAGGCTCTGTAAAATATTAATGTATTTAAAGAGAATAAAACAGATGTGCATTTAAATGAATGTTATGTCCAGTGGCAAAGGATGTAACAGAGTTGCCTTACTTTCACTGACATTTTGTATTTCTGCCTTGCATGATTTGATTATTTATCATGAAAGGAGCTAATGTGGTCAAATATATTGTTTCATTTATTCTATCACATTATCATAATATATGCTACATTTTAAATATTATAATATTAACCAAATATTGTATGTATAATAAATGTATGGGTTATTTTAAATGTGCAATATGTAACTTTTCTGCTGGCTGATTTGTCACAATAGCTTTTTATAGCTCTTTTGAGAGGCTATTGCACTGAATGTTCTACATGCCTCCTGCCTTTATTCAATTACAGGTGTTTTTATTACTAAAACATACCTACTTGTTTCCATGGAGATAGATTCAAAAAAGTTGCATAGTGCATCTGACATTGATTAATTTGAATTATGACATCACTCATATCCCAGCCAGAAATATACATGCTATTTTTTATATGAGAACAAACTAATTAAACTGGCCCAATTAAGTATGCCTATTCAACTGCAAGTTTAAATCAAACCAATGTTACACACACCTGTCAAATATAAGCATGTCCATCTTACCTGGTTCACATCACAGTTTGGCCTTGTTTTCTCCTCATTTTTAGTCCATTGGCTGACTTTCTGTTAACACTCCCTATCGAAGAGAGAAAAATAGCTGTTAAGATTTGTTTAAAGTAAGTAATAATCACGTGAAGGTGAATGTTGATTGACTCCGTGGTGTAATGTCCTTATAGCAGGTAGAGGACAGTGTAAGAGGGAGTCATATTTCAGAGAAGAGCTCTACATTTGCACTCAAACTCACTGGAGTGTAGGCACCACTCTAAAAAAAAGTACTCACTGTCTTTTCATGTCAATGGAGGAACTTAACCTTCAGCTCACCTAGACAAGGACAAACAATATTCTAAAGAGAAGAGGTGAAGAAAAGCTATCATCTTTGCAAAAACTAATAGGGTGAATATCACAATTTCAGAATAATTTCATTTGTCTACTTCCCAAATTATGTAATTACTGACCAAAGAACTAGTTCTAAGTACTAAGTATTAATCGGAATATATATGAGCTTGTTCCACTGACCTTTGTAGGCTCTAAATTTAAATAAAAATGAGCCCTAATGTTGGCACTTAAGCTTAAGGGTTTGTAATTTGTGATGAAAAAGTCAATGTTGGGTTATTTTTTGTTGTAATTGTCTAGATTGCAAAGAACTAATAAGATACGTAATAGGTAAGCCATTTCATTTAGAGTAATCTTGTATTATCTTTTTGAACAATGCTGAAATTGCAAAGCTAATTGAAATGTCATTTGCAAAATGGAATTTTCAAAATATATGCTGAACATTTGATCAGTTTCACTTAATTGCTGAAGAGCTATTATTGACCTACTAAACACAAAAATAGCCTACTTTTGTTGGATTATATATTTATTAAGGGTTATGGACACAGAAAATAACCAAAATCCATAAACAGCACAACTAACTACTCAAATTAGAAAACAAAACAAAGCACAAAACAAAAAACGCATTGTATATATTTTATATAATATATAATTAATACCACATTTAAACCATTTCTGAACATGTTGACACCATATTAGCTTGTGCTTTAATTTACATTACACCATTTACCACATGTCTGTAGTGCTCTGTCTTATGTCTGCATTTGGAGCATCCTCTTGTGAGCAAATGTTGTGTTTGTTTCTCAGATCCATTTCTGTGGTTCCTTGGGAGACCAGGTGCCATGCAGTCTTCTGGGTACAAATATCTGGAGGTTGAGAGTAAGCATGAATGTATTTATAGAGTGACACTTGAGTAATGTAAATGTATACTGAATACAGATGAGAGGGAAGTGGTGAAAGTGTAGGATACTTTTAACTTCTAATATAAAGGCAGACCAAGATCAAGAGAGTGGAGGTAGGGACCTGGTGCTGACTGGGCTGTACTTGACCCGCGTTGGTGATGGAGGAGGCTGGGTGAGGTGAGGAGATGATGGAGATGGGTGAATGTGTCTTCTCTGTGGGGACTGAGCATTATGGGCCGAGTGCAGAGATCCAGGCATCTGTAAACGCCCTTTGGGCCTGCGCAGTTGAGGAGGTGTGGTGGATGAGGAGCTGGCTGTGCACTTGTACTGTGAAGGTGTGTGGTGGGACTGATGGCCAGAGGGAGATGAGTAGCACCCGGGTGCTGAATGACGAGCACTGGGCGATGGGTGATGAGAGGGCGAGTGCTGGTAACCAGGAGACGAGTGCCTCTCAGTGAGAGGTTCTCTGGAATGAGCAGATTTGTCACCGGAGCGTTTGGGAGATTTGGGGGATTTGTGCTTATGAGACTTGGAAGATCTTGGGGTTTTGGGTGACTTTGAATTAGGATGGGTGGCCCCATAAACTTCAGTTTGGACAGAGTCTCCGTTGTTGGCAACTTTGTAGAGAAAAACATCGTATTGAAGTGGGTTACTGTCCGAATGTCGTTTGGCTTCTTTGGGGAGGAGAACCTCCAGGCCAATAGTGACTCCATCCTGATGTGAAAGGGGAGTTAGGAGTAGGCATGATTTTAGAAAAATAACCAGAGGCACATTTCATGATAATAACCTATACAAATGTTGTATGAATGTAACTGACTGCTCATCAAGCCTGCACTGTATGTCTAGCTACCACTAGATGGAGATAGAAACAACTACAAGAGTGACATAAATAGGCCATTTAGGTATTCTTTATTGTCCTCTTAGAGAAGTTTACCCTCTGCATTTCCATATCATGAGTACCTCGCAGCAAGATTAGCTTACTGTGCATGTTTTTGTGTTATTGTGGAAAGCAAGAGTGCCTAGAGGATATAGACCCAGACACAGAAAAGAACATGCAAACTCAAAGCTGAAATCTTTTCGAGTTTGTACTCAGCAACAATTCATTTTTGTTTTAACCTCTTTTGTGTTTGCACATATACAACTCTATTCATATAAAGTGCATTTTTTATTATTTCACATGTTATCTGTGTCCTGGAAAGGTCTGCGGAAATGCCTGGTTTGTTGTTTTAGCTTTGTCCCTGTCTGGAGCTGTCCATGGTGCTGAACTTCATTCAAGTCTGTGTAGTGTCTGTGTCTTATGAGCAGTCGGTTGTAGCAGGGTTAGCCATGCAGTAAGTTATTATTAGCACAGGAGCGGTTTGGCATTAGTTAGCTTTATAAGCAGACATGCAGAGAGTGAGTGAAAGATCCCGCTAAAAGGAAAGAACAGTATAGTATAGCAACACACAGGAAAGGCTGGGTAAAATGAAAAAGATTTATTCCAACAACTATGATCTATAATTCTTCATGTATACCCAAAAGTACAAAAGAACCTCAAGTACAAGTAAATATAAATCACATTGAAAACCAAGACACAGCGTGTAATATGTTGATAGATTCAAATATCAATTCCAAGCAATACTTTCACCTCATGAACTCTAGATATATTCACATTAGCAATGTCAAACATGAATATTTTGCAAATACAGACTCACTTGATTTCCACTTAACTTTTTTTGCAATTATCAGATATTCAGACACTTTTTTGTTGATAACATCAATGCATGCGGGCTGAAATAGACAGTAAGGCGGGACAAGCAGAGAAGGAAGAGCAGGGAATAGGTAGAATAGCACACAATGAAGGAGCAAGAGTTCATTGGTCAAAGACCAAGGCAGGGCATCAGTACTGAACAAAGTCTGTCATTTGTTGGTCCAAGCAAGAGACACAAGTCACAAGAAGAGGACACAGGGCGCCATTGTGCAAAACTTGTTGCTTTGGCAGCCTTGTAAACAGGACAGTTGTGCTTCCTATGTTGCATCATAAAATGTGCTTACATATATTTTAAAAAGTTGGCCGAATGTAAAATCTATACATTTGCACTTAGAGGTGTAAACAATCATAACCTTGAATAGACCTGTTTTGTGCACCTAAATCTCCAGATGTTGGTATTATACCAGGTTGTTCTGGAGCATGTTTACCTCTGCATTATCCTCTGCAGTGTGAGGGGCGTGCTCTGGACCCATTGAGGTGGGACGGTTGTTCTCATGTTTCGGAGAGTGAGAGTTGAGGATGTTCATAGAGCCATCTTCCTTGGATTGTGGGGACTTGAGGTCATTGTGCTTCTGGGGCTCATCCTGTGAACAAAGGTTAGTGCACTTAAATCCCTTTGGGTTTAAAAAGAAAATGTGAAGTGCTTACACACTGCCCAACAAAACGGGTCACTATGTACATATGTAGAAGATCATGCAGCCAACATTAAAATGTGAAACTTGCTGGCCTGTCAGCTCTTATAATCATGCCCTGATGTATAAAATGACCAGTGTAGACCTGTGGCATTTAGGCTTCAGCTCTGCAGACTCTGCAGCTGCAGGGGCTTTTTAGCCTCCAGACCTGACATTTACAGAAACTCATCCAGCTGCATCCTGTGAAAATGCCAGAAGCATTCAGTGTTATTCACCAAATTACTCTCTTCGTTTGTCAGTGTAAATGTGCTTTTTAGTTTTTAAGTTTATTACCATTTCAAAAAATGCATGTGGTGTTGTGATTATTGTCTTTGATCTATTGATTAGTTGGAAACAAATTAAGGTCAAAGGATTTGCAGATGGTATGTAGGCCAATATTGATTAGAGAAAATAACTGCAGGACACACAAACTACCAGAAAACAATAAAGGCCATGAGAGCTTAATATATTTTCATATTCTTAAAAGGATTACCCTCATGGTTAGCAGTCAACCAATATTTTGTTTTTAATTGTTGACAGATTTTTTTTAACAGATTTTTTAGATGACTGATTGAGCCTGTATGTCAGGCAGAGTAAATATGAAATGGAAATATAATGGAAAATGCATCTAGTTTCATTTTCACATGTACTGTATATATGTTGTTTTTCACGGGCAAATAGAGTCATCATTTTTTATCACACCAAAAATCAAAAAGGCATCATCTTTGCTGAAGACTTTTTGGCAAATTGTCCCAATACTGGGATTGTATGAATGGATTGTTGGATAAATAAAATATGCATGTGTATTAGCATCCAGACTGATACAACAGGTTCAGTAATCCCAAATGGGATTGTAATTGAAAATTACATTTCCAGTAAACTCTTGGATTAAAATTGTTTTGGCAGACATTACACATAAATAGTGTGCTAGATAGACAATTCAAAACATGGACTTAGACTTACACACATTAAAATGCTGCAACAAGCAACATATAAGGATCACTGAGGAAAAAAAGTTGACAATATATAATAATGACAATGATCATGTACTAAATATTTCTTTGTTTTGTAATTCCATTGTATAAACCAAAAATAAAATATAACTAAAATATAACAAAAAATATAAAAAATATATAATTAGATATTAGATTATATATATTACAGCACCCTTTGTTATATGGACTGAAGCTAATTCAGATTTGTACTAGTCCCTTAATCAGGAGGACAGCTGAACAAATGCCTGCACAAACACTGCTTTAACACTTAAACAGCAGCTGATTGGCAACTGTTTTGGTCTTTGCAGAAGGCACTCATTACTAGATCACTAAGTCAAGCTAGACCAAGTAGCAGAAGCCCCCCAAGAATCATACCCACACTGACAGACACAGATAAATGACGTCATCACACCAAAGCATTGTGGGACAAATATTTATATTCACAGCCTCACTCTTACACACATGCTGCTACTGATGAACTGTATCTTAGGACAGCACTACATGCACTTCAGAAAGACTAGATTTTAAATGGACTTAAAATGGCTTCTGTTGGAGCAAAGCAAGCAGAAACAAAATGGAGGCTTCATTTATCAGAGTCTGAGAGAGCGCAGGTATGGGAGCCGGCAATGTGTGATGTTACTACTATCACCACAGTAGTGAGAGGGGAGCGGATAGGAAGCCTTGCAAGGATGATTAATCGCTTTATCTACAGTTGTGCACCGGCAAGGAGTAAATGAAGACTCAATATCTGCTATCTACAAGTGTAAAGCAAAGCTGGGGAGGGGAGCAGGCAAAGTTCACATTCCCACTGTGCTTACCTGGAAGTGGTTATAAGGATTTCTGGGTTTATATTCCCATGTATAGCTTGTAGTTGCTGGCCTCTAAAGGATTGCGAAAAGCGTTAAACAAAGACAAGCTGCACGTTCTACCAAGGTGAGTTTGGTGACTTCAGATACACATTAGCCTAAAGCAGCTGTTGTAAGCACATTATTGACAGCCATGCACTCAAATGGCAAACAAACTAACTTAGACACCACTGAAGGACACCAAGAAAAATCCATTGAGTGTATAACAAAATTTGACAGAGCAGAGGCTTAAATGAATGAACAGACAGGTAAAAACAGAAGGAGAGATTGGGCATACCTGACAGATAATGTTGTCATAGTACGCCAGGTTGTGGGTGTGAGCTTGGGGTACAGGTGGAGGGGTGTCACACAGTTTCCTTACATTGGGCTGAGAGCCGTCTGCAGTTGTTGAAAGGGAGAGGCCATCAGTCTGTGGTTCTGTGCTTTGAGGACGGTATTTACTGAAAAAATAAATTTGAAAAATAAGCATTAAAATTGCTATTGAATATGTCACAATTAGCAGATCATAAGATGAAGTAGCATAGGTCTGTTATTTAAAGCCCAAAGCATGTTCTAAAATGCACGTGATCCCAATCCTAATTTGATTTTCTTATAAATTTGTTAAGCCTCATTTAATATCATTAACACTAGTTCACAAAGATTCACACTCCATGCTTTATAATATATAGTTTTTATACACCCTTTAGTAACTGTAAGCCCAGACAGAGACACTAGTGTGCACCTGCGTTTGCGAAGACGCCTGTTCTCGCTCTTGAGGCGGTGCAGTCTTTTGCCAAAACATACGATGATCATGAAAAGGAGGAGGAGCACACAGGAGGATACGCCCACAACCACACACATCACTTGAAACTCGGTCACCATTTGGTCACAACGTGTGCCTTTGTTCCAGATGTAGTTTTGCATATTGCACCTAAGTAAAAAAAATTAAATTAAATAAGAAAAAAAACATAACCTAAAATCAATACATCTCACAGCAAAACATTTTAAGCCAACAAACTAGCTTTAAAGAAATACCAAAAGTTTACTTGAAAAATCTATTAAAGTTCAAGGTAGAGGTAGTGGTATCAACTAGGATGACATATTATCTTGAGGTCTGGATTCAGGCTGCAGCATAGCCCTTAATGAGATCAAAGGATCAGAACATGTGCTCTGTGGGTGAAACTGTGTGTGTTGCATGTGCTATTACTCAGCAGGTACTATAAACTGAGCAACAGTTTACATAGCCAACAGAGCTGGTGGACTGGACAGATGGTACCATCATTGCCTAGCATATGTGGAGATACTGTGATTCATGTGTTTTAATATCACCATTTAATGTTATATTTGCATCTAAAACCTGCCACAAGGTTATGATGGTAACTCTCATTACCATTGGCTTCAAAATGGAGCTAATCCTTCGGCGACCCTGCTGTGATCTTGACAAACCCTCATGACACATTAAGCCAGCCGTCTGTCTTCGCCTGCATGTGTCTGTGTGTGCGGTACTCCATCAAGTGCCCTGAATCTTTACTTTTGTGTTGAATAGAAAACTTCCAGCGAAAACAAACCACCCCCTGCCGTTGTCCACAAATAATATGCAGTTGTGCTGAATTGGTTCACCATATATAAAATCCTGTAGTCTATGACAATGTGAAACAAAGTGACCTCAAATCTCATAGAAAATTAAGAAAAATATTCCATATTTGCATTTCTTGGCCTGCTTTTAGGAGAAAATGTTGTGAATATTGCATAATTACACAATAATGTACTAATTGTGAAATCTCATAGTATGCAATAGTTATTACAATATTTGCAAAAAATATTACTCTAAATAGAATTGAATCGTTAAAATAAATCTCACCTGCAAAAGGCACCCATTCCAGGCACCACAGTGCAGACTCCATCATTCAAACAGAAATTTGGTTCCAATTCACACTGAGACATGCACACCCCTGTCCCAGAGCGCACAAAGCCCAATTTGCAGCCGTCTACTCGTTCAACATCCACCTCTTTTCCTGGGATGAGCTTTGGCGGGGCAGGCAAAGACGCCCCACTGTCCGGCCATACTTTCTTGGTCACTTCGGGCAGCATTGGGTTTTCATCTTCCATGGTAGCAGGAAGTGATGGGGTGGGCTCTGGTTCAGAGGTGGGATCTACTGCAGAGAGATCAGTGTCGGTGTATTCGTAAAAGTCCTTAATTGACCATGATGGTTGTTTACTGTCTGTTTTTTGCTTTTGGGCTTGTGGAGCTTTGGCCCAAGCCACATCTTCATCAGTTGGCACTGTGTCAGGTGCTGGGCTGTGAAAAGCTACGATTACACCATCCACCATGGGGTTCCCAGGCTGGTCTGGGCCTGCCCCTCCAGCAGTGAACTCCTCTCCCATGGGGGTCTCCTCTTCAATGAAGTCTAGGTATTTGTGTTTGTGAGAGTGGTGGCGTTTGGAGCTGAGTGGTAGTGATGCTCCTAGGCCAATCAGGTGGTCTCTCTCTGCAGAGTCATCGCTTAGAACCATTTTGGGGGTCAAGACCTCTTTATGGACTGATGTCTGATTGTGGTGACGATGGTGCCTGCCCAGTGCATGCCTCCCTGTTGTTGGACACAAATGAAAATTTTAACTTTAACAAGAAATACACTAGCAAGTCATAGTGATATGGTGCTCCAAAACAGCTAATTAGCCCAATATGAAACCTACAAATGAAGCATGACGTGTTCATTGTATTTATGTAATTGACCTTGCCTGAAATTAAAATAAGACAGAAATTAATAAAATGAATAATGCTATTGCCAAAGGCTCATATATCCTCTCAGAAACAGACTAAAACATTGTTGAACATATTTTTGTGTTTTTGATAAAATGGTGATAATAATCATTATGAAAAAAGTGTCTTGACAAATCCCAGTGCACTATTAAAGATTAAGTAATTAACTGTCAAAGAAATCAGACCAAGAGACTATCGTGTAATCAGACTAGTGAAGTAGGATTAGGCACACTGACTGCTCGGGTGACCATGACTGGATGAAGATTAGTTGAGTATTTAGGGTAAAGAAAGAGGGGGGCTTGCGTGGTCAACCACTTGTGTTGTGGGCAGGAAGTCACATAGACATACTGGGTACAGGACAAATAAACCATGTCATTATGCTGCACACAGTGAAATAAAATAAGAATCACCTTTAGTTCGTCATATATGAAGAACATTATGAGTTCAATGGTCCTATCTCACAATGTGTGACATGGCACTTGAACTATTCTTCTTTTTTTGCCTAAAACCATGTCATTAGGAAAAGTGAACAAATGATTTATTTATTTACTGGCCCCATGTGAGGAGAATTAATATCTTAGGTCTTACACACAGAGACACACTCACCAATGTAATGTACTTCTTTAGTCTATTATCAGTTTTTCCATTACCAATTAGTATTTTAAACAAACAAACAGATAAATAATAACCTACATGGAGATAAGCAGTAAAATATAATGTCTGTCCAGTCAGAAATATCCCCAACTATTTGTGATAATAAACAGCTGGAGTGAAGGAAAAGCCAAACCATACTGACCATTTTCCCAGAGTTTGCGGCAGACTTTACATGGGCCTAGTAATGTAATTTTGACCAAACTTTCCTAAATACTTTTCTTAAGCTGCTTCTCATCTCTCCTCGACTGCCACCCAAAAATCCAACATCACTGTGTCCGATGAGCACTTTGCCTTGGATGTCTAGCTCTTCATTCATGGCTTAACAGAAAAAAACATCTGAACGTGCTGTGAGTCACGAAGACTTTTTGGTGTTGGAAACTGGGATGCTACCTCTTTGCAGTTGCCATGGTGAGATGTAAAGAGCGACCATGTTGAAAGGAGCAGCAGAGTCGGGCAACAGAGAATGTAGTGTTCCTACTCCCTCTCTCTTGTTTTTCAATCAGCCAGTCACTCACAGTTACACGCCAAGTCTATCTGCCAATTCTAAGGGTGGAATGTAAAAGAAAGCAGCTATATTTGCCTTATTAAAATGAATTAGGACATCTAGTTCCATAAAATGCAAAACAAATAAGAATTCTGTTTTTAGACTTGTGTGCATCTGATTTTCACCAATAATAGGAAGGTGTAAAAAATTAAAGCTGAGATTCCCAAGCTCTACTGATGCTCATTTCTCTGTAATAACAAGCATGTGCCAAATGCTCCAGTACCTCACCTCTGGCATCACGCTGAAGAGGTTGCCATGGGAACACATTTTACCTGCAGGTCATTGTGACTGGCTCTAGTCCATATTATCCCGGCAGCAGCTTCTGATTTGGCCTCTGATGGCATGCAGTAGTTAAAGATTTTCTGTCTCTTCTGACTGGTGAAGCTTTTCTTTTCTTTAAAGCCAACCTTTACAGAGAACAGTCTAGGAAGAGCTCATGAGCTGAGCAGTTATGACAAAGTGCTGGAGCTACAGTGCACACAGTGGGCATGCTGCAGTGCACTCTGGATAGGCGTATCCCATTGGGATGTATGCATCTCTGTGCATGATGGACAGCACTGTTTGCAGATTGGTGGTTTCTATTATCACTGAAGATTTTTTTTTAAATTATTTTTAGATCTAGACACAATGTTTGCACCCCAAGATTTTGGTGACATGAATGAACCAAGTCAAATTGATGAATCTTAGAATAGCTTAATTTGTCGATTGAAATGTAAAATTCACTTGGGGTTCATCAGTAGCAGCCACGTGGAGACTTGACAGACAGGACGCCACGCTTCACATTCGCGGTCAATATGTCACAGTGTTCACGGCTGGCCAGGCATTGAGGGCGAGTTGCAGGCCTAGTGTGGGTGCGGGTCCATGTGAACCTCCGCGACCCTGAGCGTGCACGCGCCACCCTGTTGCTGGGCAGCAGCCCTACACTATTTTCATTTTACGTTTTTCACTGCCGCTATAACGGTCAGAAAATGACGTCTCAAAAGTATCTTACCATGGCCTACTGGAAGACTTTATATAGGCCTAAATTATAGCAAGTAGGAGCGGTGAATGGACCTCTTGCAGTCGAGCCATGGTCCACCTTATCCCGATTGTCGCAGACAGACACGCAGACTAGGCACAGGAGCCATATGCAGTCTAGTATAAAAATGTCAAATGGCTCGCCTCTGGCCAAATACAAACCTACATACATTTATTGATATATGCAGCAGCCCTAATGGCTGAAATGTGGGGAGACTCCCTCCTCTGGAACTTTGGATGACCATGGGATTGACTGAACCCTGGCCTCGATCTAGTCAAAATGGTCATACATTACGTAGGCTATGCAAATCTGAAAATATTCTTCTTCTGAGGGAATAAAATAATGAATAAATTTGATTCAAAGTGCCAGGTATGGCAGGCTATAAGAACCAAAATACAAGCTTTATGCACAGCAATAAAGCATTAGGCGATTCTGAACCAACAACTTTTTAAAGGCTAGTAGTAATTTATTTGCATTGATCTTCATAAGCAGAGCTGCAGGTGCAAAGAGCCTCAGGTGTGTGCGTACACGTTCATGTGCGCGAACAGGTCAGGGTGCGACACTGGGCTCTTAAAAAATATCTTTAAAGCCTTACCGTGGACGGTCAAAGGGAGGATGAAGATGGAGATGGTTAGCAGCAACTGCCAGGTCTCCAGCCGGCCGTGAACGCGCGCCATTCTACCTTCAGCAGGCGTTTCCTTTTGACTGTGATACAAACTGTGCTCTCAGACAGCAGCTATCTCTGGCAATCCCTCTCGCGGATCCGCTGCAAAGTTCAAATGTCGACCCTTCTCGCCATGTCTTTTCCACGAGCACCGTTAATGCCTCTGGTTCAGTCTCATTGTCCTCCCGTGGATTTGGCGCGCTCGTTTGTCACTATGCGCACGGGGACCGTCGGCAGTGGTCGTGGTAGTAATGCGCGTCACCGATGGAGGGTCTGCAGACGTGTTTTAAAGAGCCGGTTTTGTCACTGCCTTCTTGCTGCATGCGATCCTATAAGCTTTTGCCAATACAAATCACGGCACCGTACGCACGGCAGCGCGCACAGTCAAGGTGCAACACACAGTCACCACCACGCTGTGTATACAGGGGGATTTGGGTAGCGTATGTTGTCACCGCCAATATGCTTAATTTCACAGCCTATAAACCAATGTGCCAATAGTGTGTCCAGTATGCTTGTGTGTACTGACGTGTAGCAAGTCTGAGAGTGCTCATAGCATTTCTTCTGTGAAATGCAGGCTCTGAATAGCATCTGCTGTACTCTATAAACTAACAGCTGGAGCGTTATCCTCCCGCAGCTCCAAAAGCTTCCATACAAAAAGCTGTGGCTGTAACGTGAAGGCATATCTGATAATACCCCATGCAGTAAAGCATCTGGTTTTGAATATAAATGGAAAACAAACTTGTTCTTAAGCCATGTCTTATGGCACAAGATAAAAATGGATGTTGGGCTGTGTGCAAAAAACAAACCAAAACAAACACAAAACCATGAGGAGTAAATTGTTCACTGGTGAGCAGCAGAACAAAATTATTACAGTAGCCCCCTCATCAATCATAAAAATCAGCACAATAATAAATATAATTGTATAGCTCCTGTATCTGTGACTCTGACTCACACTGAATTGACTGAGTTACAGCCAGTAAAGTCCAAGGAGACTGGCTGAAGCAGGGCGAACAGATGGATCACACTGAGAATGGAAGAATGGTTGTAGTCAATGCCAAACTCTGTTGTGTTTTTCTTTTTTCACATCCTGTTCCCATGTAGAACAGCAAGAGGTGGCCAGGATGCCCAACTCTCCCCAGGGCATCCCACCTGTGTGACACTGCATGAGATTTAAATAAAAAAATATGCTTATCTTGGGATATTAATAGCCTATATGCTGTGTTGTTCAAACGTCAAATAATTTGGAGTTTGATAAGAAATGTTTCTTGGTGTTTTAAGATCGTTAAAAAGGCAGTTATAGCTTTATATCAGTGAGGTAGTAATTTGAAACTTATTTAAGAATATGGCACATCATGATTATTACTGCTGGCACGATAATTTCATGAGAACATTTTGAACTTGAGGTTGAGTTTTTTTATTTTAATTATTTGTTGTCAAAATGAAAGTGAAAATAAACTTATTAAAAAACAAGCATGTGATTATGTCATGGAAAGAATGTTGCACAGCCAGTTCTAGAGACTTGGTGAGAAGAAAATAGATCGAGACTTAGAGCAGAAAAGACACCAAGACATCAATGTATTAACTAAAAAGGTGATAACACCTTACAACACCTTGCGATAGTAAAGCACTACACATGTGTTATACTAACTTTAGTTCTAAAGTTTTTCAGAAGTGAATATACTACATAATGAGTTCATTGTTATAATTTTAGGGAGGAGCTTACACACATTTATATAGGCCATCGTGCAAGTCACCTGTTGCAAACCTTCAGCTTCATACAGAAGAACTGAGTTACTTGAGATTTTCTACTGATTCAAGATGGCCTCTATGTATGTATTTTAATGAAATGTTGAATGTTGAATGTATCCTTTCAATCACTTAAAACATTTGTATTTTTAGAGGGTCAGCTTCACTGGATCTGAACTATGACAAGAAGACTGTTAATGCTGAAGTCAAAGATGTATCCATTAGTAACTTTGCTGTAGGATGTTTAGCAGCTGTAGCAGTGGCCTATAGTGTAAGTGATATTTGTTTCTACATCTTTCTAATCTACAACAGGGCACATGTATTAACACATATATACTGATGATGTTACTTGTATTGTATATAGGCCTCTAAGATTTTGGATGTTGGACAACAATCGAACAAGAAGTAAAGATCATCCTCCAAACAGAGGCTGTATATCAGAATGTTTCTGCAATGTCCTAATCAATAAAGTGATGAATTAAATGATTGTGACAAAGAATGGTGTTTTCCATTTGGGTGGAACGATTATCAGTACGTCAGTAGTATGTTGTGTTGTCTTTTGCTTGACAGAATTACATGTTCTTTGTAAACTGGATATCTGAAGCTGGGTCCAAAGAGCTAAAGAGATAGAACTAAAATGGTGTGTTGCTCAACAGCAGTGGTAGGTTGCCATAATATTCAAATGTCAAAAATATTTTAGAAAACTAACCTTTACATAATGACTAATAGCTAGTTTGTTGTGAATTAATTATACAAACCATTACATTTCATTTATGAACATAAAATTGTCTAGTTTAGTAGTGTATAATAGATGTTAAATAACAAGATTAAATTGTCTGTTGCTCTTGTCTCGCCTATTATATCTTAAGCACAAAGACTATATAGGGTAAACCATCCTGTAATGTAGCTGCTGTCTGATTTTAATGTATTATCTAACATTATTGTTAATGCAGACATTTATTACTAGGAAAGTTCTGTGACAAATATTTTCCTAATACTTTAAAATCAGACGGATGGTTAAATCTTAAATCGTATAAATAAGTAAATGAAAAAAGAAGTACCACACTTAATATATATATAAAAAAACACATTTAATCAGTTGAGAGCACTTTTTCACATTTCCCAACTGAGCACACAGCTTAAACAGCTTGAAATCAATGACTTGATTAAAATGTACATGACAACTTGTTGAAGTTTTACATTTGATGAGCCTAGTAAATTTTATGTGAAGTCTTTTTTCACCTTTATCATTTTTGATTACTCAGCTTCAAAGTAAAACTGTAACATACAGGCATTTTTGTAATTACAGACACATTAAGGAAATTTCTTCTAACTAGTTGATGCGTTGATCGTTTAATTGTGAGTGGATACTGGAGGTGCTATTCCCTCTGTCTGTGAAGATGGATCTGAATGACAAAATAATAAACGTTAAAAAAGTAACAATTATTTAATATTGTTATAATATAAGAACACTCACACATGCCATTCGGAGCCCCAGTGTGTCGAGAGGCCATCACCTGGGCAGTTCCTCCGCTTGGCATTATACGGTTTGGCACAGACTGGCCTACAGAAGGTACAATAATACCTTTAATAAATGTTGTACACAATGACTTGAGGCTTTGAGTTAATGTAACTAGTGTTCTTATGTGTTCATGTTTATGAGGAAGGTCAGACCTGTGAGTTGCATTGTGAAACCAGGCTGCCCCTGCTGCTCCCTTTGCTGCCGAACTTTTATTTCTGCCTGCTTCAGTTGTTCAATGTGAAAAGTCTGCCTCTCAGACAGAAGCTGCTGCCGTTGCTGCTCCAGCTGCAAAAGACAAGGGTTGTAAAACAAATTAAGTTAGTCCTACATTGAATTGGGATAAATATTGTATGATTTAGGCAAGAAAATCTATGAATAATTAATTCAAACAAGAACTAGCACTGACCGCCTCTTTCTCTCGGTCCATGATGGTCTCCAGCTCCTCAAAATGCCTCAACTTGATTTCTAACTTTTTCATCTGAGTCTCCACCAGCAAAGCCACAAGAGACTTGATTTTTCGCTCCTCTACAGCTGCCAAATGCTACAAATACAAAATGGGATTAAAAATGCAAACAACTGTATTATTGCTGGTGTAAGCATTCTGTGTGGCACCTTGGCCTTGGTGGCAGCAGAGGACAGAGCTGCAGCCGCTGCATTAGGTACAGCGACCTCCACCAGATCCTGCTCCATCACTGCTCTGCTGAGCTCACCCTCGCCTTCTCGCTGCTCAAAACTGTCATCATCGTCTATTCTTCCTACAAGAAAGAGTTATCTGTTAGAGAAACTGAACAACCAAATGGATAAGTAAATACATGTACAAATTTTAGCACCATCTCTGTCCTCTGCAAGTAAATTTTCTGCATTTTCACTTTTAACTCTTTCTTCCACTGTTTGGGCTCCACTAGGTTCCAAGTTGACCCCATCCACACGTAAAGAACTCTAATAAAAAAAAAACAGCCACCATTAACAACCAGAACAATAAGGAAATACAAAAACAGCATTGTTTTAGGAGTATTTCACCTGGTTTGTGGAATTAGTTTCCATTTTCTCTGCATCTATAGGTTCTGAAAGAGTAAGCAGCACATAGATTATGCCAGATAAGAACATGAGTGTCAAAATGTGAACGTATACAATTTACTTATAATCTAACCTTTTTTTTCTGTCTGGACGGCCATTTCAGAGATTTTGTCAATAGATTCCTCATGTGCTCTAGAGAACTCCTCTGATGACAAAAAAACAAAGCAAAATTTGTACACAACCAGAGAACAGATTATCACTCTTACTACTCAGTGTACTAACCAAGTGCTGCTTTGGCGGCTGCAGATGCTACTCGAGGGTCCACTACTGATGCTAGGAAGGCCACAGTGCTCATGACAGGGTTCTCAGATTGGCTGAAAGGGACAGGTTGGTATGCAAGAGGACCAAGAGAGGCAGAGGAGTCTTCAAGATAGGGGTCTTCTATTGGCAACCGAAGAAAGTGCAGAATACAGTCGTCCTGTGTCCTAGATCCGACATGCTCAGAAACCTTATTCCAGTCGTCGTTGTAAACCTCCAGTGCCTGAGATAGGAACCAAAAATTGTTAGTAAAAAAGGCAATAAAACATTTGGATTTTATGGCATGGGATTTTATCATTTTAAACAAGGAACAGCCTTACCTCGAGTAGTAAAAGTGTCTCTTGTTCAGTCCATTCCCTTCCAGCACTTGCTCCTTTAGTCTGAAAAATAGATTAATAAATAAAAGGGTTATTATTTGGAAATAAGCACTTCTATTATTAAGGGTGGTTATGTCAGACCTTAGGATGTTTCCTGGCATAAACATCTGTTCGCAAACCAAAGTTTTGGCAATCTGAAGGCTTCTCTCTCCCTCTGTCTGGGAAATACAGCATGTGTTGTGAGGCTGAAACCTAAAAGGAATAAGAATCTTGAATTAGTTACTTAATGGGAAAAAAAACCCCCAAAAAACAGAAAGAAATGTAGGTTCTCTAGGTGTTACCTGCAAGGGTTTGTGTTGCAGTGGGGCCAGCCCAGTGGGAGTGTCAGCCAAGACGTTAAAATGAGGAGTAGGAGGAGGTCCCATGGGGAGGGGTCTGCTTTCTGCATCCACCTGATAGTTTATCAATCCCCATTGCTCCAAAAATGCATGGACCCTAAAAAATATTTTTATGTTAAAGTTTTATATTATAAATGTAAGTAAGTAACACTGAAGCAGAAGCAGGTATTTAAAGCCATAAAGAAATATTCATACCTCATGACAGCACAGACATCTCCAGTGAGGTTCCGCCTACAGGAGGTGGAGCTTAGATATTCTTGAGGGTTCAATCGATATGTGTCAATCATAAAGTTGCGATAAGCCAGGTAACTACATTGGAAGGAAATAAACATAAGCAATGAGTCAACAATTATATCATGATTGGTTTAACATATAAGTATTGTCACCACTCACATTTCCGGTGATTTAGATTTGTTTTTGCCATTGAAGAATTCTGGTAGTGAACGTTTCTCAATAGAATGTATGCTGGAAATAAAAGACAATACTTAAACTAAAGCATTACTTAGTGGTTATTATTCTGGTGTGTATGTTTATTACCTGTTATTGTTAAACCAAGATGTATAGCTTGGTATTATAACATGATGAGTTTGTTCTGTAATGTTTTCCTCTCCCTCTAGAAAGCGAGACATTTCAACTCTGCCCTCCTCATCCTCCTGTAGACAGAAATATACATGCAAAATACAGTGCAGCGTTGTTTGTGATGCCCCCTATTAAAAATGTAATTACCCTTCCTGGATAATCTTCCTCTTGATCATCTGAAAAAAGTTTTTTTTTTTAAAAACAGCAAAAATTTAAACTTTCTATGAAAAACAAACCAACATGCATATACATACCAAGATCAGCCATGATGCCTCCTTTAACAGGAGTGTTCTCACTGTCCTTTTTCAAGTTCACTGATAAAAATAATACATAAAATAAATGGCTCTGCAGCACAAGTTTGATCACATGCATTGTTTAGCAGATATGTCTCACCAATCTTAGGTAATATGACCTCTTCCATGTTTGGAACAGGGGTTGGATCCTCCATGTCTTTGGTCAAATCCTCCTCTGGCTCTTCTTCCTGTTGTCCACGCTTTCGTCTGTGATACAACAATTACACATTGCATACAATGCACTTATAGTGAATCACCTAGATTATATTTTATAGGATATAAAACGCCTCACCCTTTCTTGCCTTTCTTTCGACCTTCGCAAGATGGAGGAGAGGTTGACCGCCTTCTCTTTTTGGAAGGAGTAGAATGTGCATCCTGCAAGATGTTCACTTAATACGTAATCTGTTCATCAATTGTAATTTTTTTTTAAATTAATGTATGCATTTTCTATTAATACAAATAAAAAACCTCATTGCGAAGAGGAATTCGATGCCGAAAGATTACAGGGACATTTCTTTCATCAACACAATAATCTTCTTCATTCATCCATTCGTTAAAACAGTCTGTGTCCAGAACCCAAGCAGCATGGACCTGTGTATTTATAATCAGAAATAAAGGGTAAAAGGACATTGTTTCAAAGGAAGGCAAATACAGCTCTACATTAGTTAATTTTCTGATAAAATGTGCAAACCTTGCAGGGTCGCTCGAGATGAGGTGTTTCTTCAATTGCTCCTTCAACTTCAAGAGATGACAACCAGCTGTCATAGCTATTGATGACAGAACAGAAACCTCTTTCATATTGCTTGACATGAAAATCAAATCAGTCATGGAACATTTATGAAATGTATAAAAATGTTTAAAAAACTGAAAGGAGGACTTTAGTTATTACTACAAATAATTTTAAATAGAATAAAATAAGAATAATGCAGGAATGTTTTGCCTTACCTGTCAGGGTGCATACCCCAGTGTACTAAAACATGTTTATCTCTCTGCATCACAGGACGCATCCATTCATCTGAGGAAATATATTGTAAAAAAAAAAAAAATCATAATCTTAGATACATTTTAAAAAGTACATTTTAAAAGTACATTTTATAAACAAACTGACCTTCTTCTGGGGACGCAAGTGAGGGATATATATGATGGCTGGCAAGTATTCTATCCTGGGTGAGAGAACCCTGTGAATGGAAAAATTAACACCTGAAAACTAAACGTTAACACTTATAGGCACTTTTGTTTTTAATTTTATTTACCTGGTGTTTTGTGATAATGCCACTCAGTCTTTCAGCTAGCTCCTGATCTACCATCGGGTCCATGTATACAATCGGAAATGACAGGCAGTTGTTCTGAGGACAGAAAATATATGCAGCATTTTAAATATGTCCCTGTTGGTGTGTAGGGAATCATTATGTAACTTTTTACCTGGACCAGTGCCCTCTCTATACTGTGAAACATCTCAATATTTCTTTCAGTTCTTGATGGATTTTGTAAGTCAAACCTCCGCCTGAAAAGCAATGCAAGACAAACTTTTATTTAACAAAAACACTACACAAAAACATTTAAAACATACCATCCTTGCTCCGCCTTGAATTTATATGCAATCCCAAGAATGTGGCACAGTCCTCCTCCTGGATGTAGGTCCATAAAGCACTGGGCCTACAAGTAAAACAGATTACATATTTATGCTGTCGTAAAACAGTCACTGAATGTAGAACACAATTATATGAAGACCGTCTTATTTTATTCTCCAGATTAGGTAATTTTCTCTTAATTTTTCAGAGTAGAAGAATTAAATATGTTTTAGAGAATTCAGCACTAAAATAACAAATAACAGAAATTACAGAGGAGGATGAGGAGGTTGTGCGGGGATCACATTGGGGTATCTCTGGTGTCTCCATCTTTTTAAAATGACTGGAGACTGTGGTGTAAACTGGCATTTAGTAGCTACCCAAACGGATTGCCAAATCCACCGTTTGCTGTTTTTATTTGCAGGGTGAAGACTCACTGGAAGTTTGGTGAGGGCTGGATTGGAGGATTGTCTTCCAAAAACATCCTCCTGAAACTGCAGAAGCTGAAGGGTTACCATGGAGAGAGTCTGACATGAAGGCGCATCCACCAGCACATACTGAAAGTTAACAGACACAAAATAGACACATTGTAGTGACCGTGATTCATCATTTTAATAGGCGCGAAAAGACTACATTGTTGTTTGTTAGCTTATTAGCCAGACCGCTACCTTTTTGTAATGCTTTCCAATCCATTGACGCACCACCTCCAGCTGCGCTAAAGTCTCCGGACTCTCCCAGAAACATGCAGGCGGGCTGCTTTCTTTTTTCTTATGTGCGGACATGACGGTGCAGGACGGATTAACCCCAGAAAATGTGGGGTTTGCCCCACCAGACATTGTGATCAATAATTATCATCAATCTGGACAACAAAACTGGCTAGCCACTTGGCTAGCTGTTGTGTTCTCGATTTGTATCGCGAGATAGTTTGTGAAGTTAGCTTTTCAAGTTAAAAGAGTTTAGGAAAATTAGTGGTTTCTGTGGAAGAACAACACGTACTATACGTTATTTGGCTGTATGAGTTGATATTATATTTTAATACAGGTTTATCTGACGAATTTAATGTTTCTGAAATCTTAACATTACATTTTCTGATGATTATCACGAGTTTATTGTGAATTCTGTTAACCACAAGGAAGTAAAGAAGGAAAACGCAACTTAAGTGAAAAGTAACCGTTTCAGTTTAGATTTTAGATGTTCTTTTTTCAGTGATTATAATTTTCTTTTATATTTTGGGATGTAAATGCCGTTTTAACTTAATTGTCGTGTCTGAGCCATAGACTGTATAAAAAATACATCGTATCATGTATACGGTCTGTGGTCTGAGCAAAGGAGCTTGGTTTAAGGTCTAACCATAAACCGAGCATTTTTTTTAGTAAGACAATAAGATAATAACTGTATTGAAAATCAAATCCTGCAAAAGGTTTATGTCTTTCAAGGCCTTGCGTTACAATGGGAGTCCAGGGCCTGACCACTTTTGTTGAAGGGAACAGGCACTTCCTACAAGATGTGAAGTTCAGGGACAGAAGACTGTTGATAGATGGGTGTAGCTTGTTTTTCTATCTTTACTTTAACCACGGTTTGGATCAGCAGCATGGAGGGGACTATGATGCTTTTTCCTGCCTACTCACACAATTCCTTTCTGCTTTGGCAGCATGTAATATACACCCATTTGTTGTTCTAGATGGAGGTAGGCTCCTTTAATGTCTCTCTATCATGTGTATTATCATGTGAAAAAGTTTATTTTTGTTATTAGGGATGGACCCTAGTGACAAGAAGTTAAACACTCTGTGCCAACGTCTGGAGTCCAAGATAAAGATGGCAGACAGTATCTCTCGAAGTCGCCATGGCTCTGTCCTACCACTCCTCACCAGCGAAGTTTTCATTCAAGTGCTTATTCAAAGTGGAGTTCCCCTGGTTCAGTGCCCATCTGAGGCTGATAGGGAGATTGCATGTTTGGCTCGGCAGTGGAACTGCCCTATTCTCAGCAGGGATAGTGACTTTTATATATTTGACCTCCCAGGTATGACTTAAACCACACTTTTAACCACATTGATGGCTTGTTTTTAAATTATTTTTCTTATTAGGTGGTTACATTCCACTGAATTACTTTCAATGGACCAATCTCAGTGGAAAAACAAATCAACGCTACATTTCAGCTCGACTGTACACCACGAGTGCCTTGTGCCGCTGGTTTGGGGGCCTGAACAAGGATCTGCTTCCGCTGGGTGCAGTCCTTGCTGGTAATGATTATGGTACTCCAAAAGAAGTTAAACTCCTGTCTTTAGTAGATGCAATTAGTGCTACAAGAGGTAATAAGGGAGGAAAAGGTAGGGCTCCAGTATCCCGCATTGAAGGGCTGCTGGCCTGGCTTTCTTCCTTCTCTGGCCCAGCCGAGGCACTAGCAGAAATTGGTCAGCTTGTTGAAGAGGATGCCAAATCTAGAGCTCAGGGTAGAGACAAAAAGGGAGTTGTGAGCTCAAAATTACAGGCATGTATGCAAGAATATAACATCACCTGTCACAGTTCTTTAGCTCCCTGGTTTTCAGAAAGAAAGGAAGTGCCTGGAGGCTGGACAAGTCTTGGACTACCAGCGTGCCTTGCTAAAACTGCAGCACAGGGACTATTGGCTGCTTCTGCTGTAGATGCTTTGGTGATGCAGAGGGTCCTGCTCATGCCTCAAGTGGAAAATTCCAAACTGGCCAGCAGCCACTGTAGTGCTATATCTATTCGCCAGTCTATGTATGGGATTTTATTAAACAGATTTCAAACAAGGTTGACACAAGGAAAGAATGGTAATCAAGGGGGAAAGGGTCAGAGTGCAGGTAGAGGCCTTGTGGACAGCCATGTGAGTCTGGACCAAACGTATCCTCTGCGGCAAAAAGCAGCTGATGTTCAGGTTCAGGGGCCAGCAGTTTTTGTGGAGGAATATGACCGCAAGGACCTGAATTTGAATAAAAAAATGGTGGAGGCACATCAGCTCAAAATGCCCTTCTCGCTTGATGCCATTGGCCAGGTAAATAGTAAAAAAAAAAAAAACTGTAGTATTCATAGCACTTAATTGAAAAACATGCTTGTATTTTGTAGGCTTCACCCGCAGATCGACTTACTGTTCTTTTGGAGGTCCTAGGAGTGACTCAGTCAGCTCTAAGTCCATTTCCCCCACACCTGAGGCTGGCTATAGCAGTAACAATTTTTTGGCAGCGAGAAGCCAAACCAACACCCACACAGCCTCAACTCCAGGCTCTGCTAATGGGGTTTGTGTATGGAGAGCTGAATCTGCATGCTGGTTTGTAAAATACTTAAATGGTAATTTCTTGTAGCTTCCAAAATTTATGTAACTCTTGATGCATACCTTTCATAGGTTCCCAACAAAATTGGACTCATGAGCGTGGTTTGAGTGTGGCAATGGTTCAGAAGCGCTTAAGACCAGGGGAGAGAAGAGGCTTAGACCTAGGAGATGCTCACACTTACAGTCAATGGCAAGCCTGCCTTTGGGCTGCTCTGTGTCTCAATCAAGTACTCCTGCATCCAATGCCTGAACCATTCTTATCATGGTACGTCAAAGTAAATTGAAATACAGTAACACGGTAATGGATTTTTATTTGTTATTTTTATTTCTAAATGGTTGAGAAATACCTCAAGTACATGAAGTATAATACTATGATATGAATGTAAATAAACTGACTTTCCAAAAATCTTTTAGGTTGTTCAGCGGTACTTTAGTACATGGTCTTGCTAAATATTTAAAAGGTGGCCAGACTCCTGAATCTTTGTTGCTTAAATCCACCTTATCTGAGCAACTTTACTCATCTCTGCTGGACACTGTGAACAAGAGCACCCTAAAAAGTCACCCAGCTTCTTCAGCATCAGGAGGAAGGAAAAGAAGTGGCCGTGGAAGGAAAAGAGGCAGTGCGCGTAGAGGAGGTGGACGAGGGAACAGAGCTACTGAAGAGATAAACAACCGTTTTGCTCTGCTTATGAGTGAAGAGGAGGATGACATGTAAAGTATAGAATTGTAACAGGCCTGTTTATTGCACTCAGAAAAAGACCAAAGATGTTATTTTTGTACACAGTATACTCTAGGAGTTTACAACCAGAATCATTGCACTAAATTCCATGCCTGGTGCTGTATCTGCTTTTAAAGGATGTAATACCAATACATGCATGTTGATAATATTTTATGAATTTTTTATTCTGTTAAAATACTAACATTTAATTGTAATTATTTTTAGCAGTCAATCATTATGCCACATATTCAGAGCTGTAATTATTAAATTGAATAGTAAAATAAATACATCAAAACACTTAACTTACATCCCAATAAAAAATATAGAAACTTAAATGGCACCTTTTTCCTCAAGGATTGTAATGATTTTTGCTTTGCTATGAATTTTTACTGAGCATTGAAAAGTTTTCTAAAATAAAAAAACTTATATAAAAACTTAAATAACTCTTAATTTAGCACAACTAAAATTCAATTCAAATAGCTTGCCTTGATGTTTTAGAGATCTACGAGGATGTTGATGCTATTGAAGAAGATGCTGCAGAGGTGGTGTGTGTTTGAGGGTCTATTATGTCCATGTCCTCATCCTCATTCACTCCACATGTGTCCACCACACAAATTAAACAGCTTGTGACGGGGAATGCTCGCACCTTACTGCACGTTACCCACCTGAAATAGAAAAAAATATTTGCAGGGGCTCCCAGAAAGTCTAAAAGGTTATATCAAAGCAAAAACCTAATGCTAAGCACAAACCTGTCAGTATCAGTGTGATACTCCAGTACATGTCCCAAACGACCAACTCCCTGAAAGCCTGCCAGCACGTAGATGACCTCGCCCACAGCTGCGCACTTAACAGTGATTCCTCTCCACGGCATAGGTGTAGCAGGGCGCCATTCATTACTTGTGATATCATAGTACTCTACTGAGTCTAATCCACCTGGAGTACAAGCACAGTATCCAAAATGAAAAATCTAACTAAAAGCAACTAAAACACCACACATCTTTTTTGTTGTTGTTAATACCTATTGCCCCTTGACCTCCGACAGCATAGATCCTGTTGTTAACCACAACCAACCCATGGTTTTTCCTAGCCTCTCTCATTCCACACAGTTCTCTCCACCTAAACACAACACAAAAGATTTTCTTTATAGAGGAAGATAGTATATAAACTACTTTTAAACTTACACAAATAAAACAATGGGTTGTTTTGACAGAAATGAACAACCTTCGAATAAGACAAAATTAGAAATTTTATTTAGTCTTTTAATAACAACTGCAGGTAGACTGCAGGTAGCCAACAGTCTGATTATTGTATGATTTCTGGACTGGCTAAATGACATGCAAAAAACAAGATCTGATGTGAGTAATCTGAGAGATCATGATCATAAAGAAATTAAGATGACTTTGCTGTTTACATGAGTATGCATGTAACTGCATCCATTGATGATTTGTGGGTACTTTTGAGGAAGCCACAATGGACGAGTCACTAGTGCGACTGAGATGTTTGTCACTGATGAACTTATTTGTAAGCTGAATAAGTCAGAAAATTAAATCTTGTCATCACTCATAAATACTAGTATTGCTACCTCAGCCTGCCTGTTTTAAATGTTTAAATGTGTTAAATCATAACAGTTTTTTGTATAGTCACTTTCATTTGTCTGTTTTATCTGTTGGCCATATGTCCAGAATGTCCAGAATAAAGTTATATTTGTATTGTGAATTGTAACTCACTGCTGTGTGCTTGGGTCAAAGACTTCACAGTTGTTGAGAACTCTGCCTGACACATTGTTGCCCACAGTTCCCCCACAGACATAAATGAGGCCGTTTGCCTCCACAGAGCCATGGCCACACCGCGCCATCAGCATACTAGGCTTCACCTGCCAGGACTCGGTCCTTGTGTCATAACACTCGAAAAGATCAAGAGCTGAGTTCCCTGAAACCACAACAAATTTTACTCAACAGTTTCCTTTTTACAAAGTTTTCTTACTTCTTACCAACTTCTGAACCTCCTGAAGTGTAGATCTTTCCCTGGGCAGCACAGGCAGCTAGGCTGTCACGTGGTGTTGGTGGTCCGAGCTTTGAGTACCAGCTGTCTTTCAAGACATTGTAACAGTCCATTCTCTTGATAGGAAAGAGCTGTGAGCCACCCAAAATATAGACAACATTGTCCCAAAAAACTGCTGTGGCATCTCGTCGCTTCTCAAAGGGACAACGAATATCAGTCCAGCTCGACTCCTTGAGAAGATAAAAATCATCAATGTTCTGAATTATATTTATACATTTTCTTTTCATATTCTTAATCCTTTTAAGAGGGAACTGTATCAACATTTTTGTAAATGAGTATACAGTATACCTTGGGGTTGAAGTAGCGACAGGATTGTGGCTGGGACCCTCCAAAAAGAGCAATGCGGTAGTCATGTTTCTTGCGTCGTGGACGACTGCTTTCTCCCAAATCTTCACGATCTTCAAGGGACAGGAGGTGGTAGCACATTCCACCTGATAAAAAATACACTTGAATTTGCTTATGACAGCCAGAAAATTATCTTCAAATTGATGAGTATTCACTCACTGATGACCATTTTCAAACACTGTGGGTTGTCTTGGATGAGAGGTTCAGCCTGTACAGTCTTGGACAGGAAAGTCTTGGAGACTAAAGGAAAACGAACACATCCCAGCACCTCAACCATATATTGTTCTCTATTACAGACATCGTACTTGAGCCAGCGTACTGCTGCATCATAAATCTGAAGAAAATAAATGTTAACATGGCGTTTTATACTTTTATTAACATGGAGTTTTATACTTTTGAGTAGAATGGAAATTCACCTGAGCCTCTGATCGGACTGTGAGCTTGTCCTGGTGGAGTAGGTAAGTGAGTCGTTTCACATCGAGTTGCAGAAACTCATCCAGTTTATAAACTTCAGTGAAGTGGAGCTGAAAGAAATCCTCAGCAGCTAACTGTAACTCTGGGCAATCCATACAGTCAGCTAATGCTGAAATACCTGAGAAAAAAAAGAGTCAGCAAACAAATAATTCAAACTAATGTACTCTACAATAAGCTTCAAATTCAATTCAAAAATGTTTTTCATCATTTTACAATTTATGTAACACAACATCACAACATCTTGGTCTTACCAAGGCAATTTGTAGCATCAATCTGTCCTTTAAGAAACTCCACACACATTTTCTTCACAGGCTCAATCTGGTATTGGTTAGCTGCATCCAACAATGACTGGACATTACTGCTGTTCACTGAGATTCTTTCACCAGGGACACACACAGATGCAGTACATAATTATATATTTCAAAACAGCAGATATGCAGTATTCATCGAAGTATTCAGGCTGGCAGACCATTCACCTTGCTGTGTAGATGAATTCAAGAAGCAGATCAATGATGTCAGGCTCTGCACTCCTGAGCTCCACCTCATGGGACATGGACTCCATCATTCTAGCTGCAGGTAGACAAGTCCAGTATGAAGTATGAACTGTATAATGTGCAAACCAATGCATTATATAAACTCACTGGTAAACATGAGACTGAAGAAATGACTAGCAGCAGCCAGAACAACTCTATGAGCAGGAAAGTGTTTCCCCTGGACCAACAGGGTAACATCACAGAGGGTCCCCTGGTGGAAGAAAGCAGAGTACATTTTATATGCAACTGTAAAACACTTATTCTCAGCTATTCACAGCACATACTTGCTTCCTCAGATTGTTCATGACAGCCATGATTCCGGACAGTTGTCTGTACTCCTCCTTGGAAACACATTTTCTCTCACTTTTCTTCTTTGAGCCTGACGCCTTCTCTGGAGAAGCCATTCCGGTCATGACAAGATCACAGCTATACGCTGAATATTAGAAGAAATACTTTAAGATACACGTTGAGACCTCAAAGCTAAACCCATTGACCAAAACACAACAAAGACAATGGTGGCTCTTCTTCTAGTGCCGGCGCAAACTCTGCCTGTTTAGCGCCATCTAGTGATCTAATGACTGAACAGCGGGTGAAAAAACTACTAGTAGTTCAATAACTGAGATTTTGAGGTCCGAAGTATTTTCAAAGTATGATAATGACTTTTCTTACTTAGATTAAAAATTTGATTTGGCGTGAATCTTTGTACACAGCTCACAATAGTTAGATATACGGTTGGTTTACTTCATAGCTATTCACTAAGCAGAAAGTGCTTCAAATACTGAGGCGCACCTTTGCACTGTGCACCTGAGCAACAGGACGAGCAAGGAAAAGTTTGAGTCGCATGACGCTGACGTCATGAGGTATGCAGAAAGACAATAAAGGACATTGTCAGAAATTAATGATCTGAAAACAAGCGAGGGTCCCAAAGCACAGAGATGATCAGATTTCCTTGTTGCTGTTGCTTCTCTTGTGAAAACACTGAAAACGAGGTAGGCTATGTTTATTTGATATGACTTGGTAGGTTATAAAGAATCCTTATCGATTAGTATTGCGCAGTTACAGGCTACATTCCTGTGCGCCAATTAGCAATAGACCTAGATCCAGTGAGGACTGCGTGACTGTATGAAAAAAAAATTGAAGCAGTTACATCCAAGTTTGTAAACCGAAACTAGATTAAAACCTACAGATAAAGATTAGGTTACGGGTATGTAGTGGCATTTTCTTTTCTTCGTATTTTCATAATAACACCATTATTGTATCCCCAAGACACAGCCTCTTCTTGGGTCCAGACAATCTGAACAGAATGGAGCAGCCTCAGCCAGACAGACTCTCTCAGCACATAGTGGTGAAGAATTTTTAATTTACATCTGCGTTCTTAAGATACCATAACTCATGGCATTCTTTGTTAAAACATTCGTAGATGGGCACATGAAAACTGGTAAACTGGTGATGAGGCGAGTGGGTGTGCCTGACTTGGACCAGAGGTTTTCAGATGTCGCTGAAGCTTTTAATGAACAACAGCATCGGTTTGAGACTACAGTGCACCTCCTACTCAGCCTGCAAAAGAGATATCGCTGTTCACCAGGTGGACCATTGGCTTTAACAGGAATTTTGAGAAAAATTAGAGATGAGCATGGTAAGTTATATAAAACCATGGAAAAATAACACATTAAGACATTTGGTTGAATTCTTTATCTTTTATCCTTTTTTTTTTTTTTTTTTTTAAACAGAGGCCAACTACAGGATTTCCATGAAACTCAAAGGTTATGACTTCTCTCTATGTGTAGTTCATGCCAATTCAGAAGAAAATGATGTAGGACCACTGCCCTATCATCTACAGATGGCTATAGATGAATTTAAGGACATTTCAGAGTCTGCAAAAGCTACTATAGCAAAAGGAACAACACTTCAGGAGCTAATAGGCTGGCTCCTACGTAGCAAAGATCACATGGCCGAGCAAGTAAAAGGGGCTGCAGCAACCTTTCAAGAGCAAGGAAGACTATCAGAGAACCTGAAGGAAAATGTGAATGAAGTGGTAAGAGCCAAACAGCTGTCAATGGAGTATAGACAAAAAGCCGGAGAGATTTTTGTTGAAGCTGCAGACATAGCAGGGCCTCATCTGTAGTACACAGACAGGAATCAGTGTATTCTAGTGACATATCAAAAGGCATGTGTAGTGCTATACTGATATGGAAAAATGCATTGGTAAAGTTTATTATCAAATGCTGGTGGGAATTTAACCAAAATCAATAAAAATTTTATGTGGCTACTGATGGATTTTTCATTCCATGGCCAATGGGCATTAAAATTAAAAAACAAAACAAAAAAAACAGACTATTACCTACATGGCTCATGTCATTCTAATGGGCAATCATTGGCAGCACAGTGGCTGAGTGGCATGCCTCACAGTAAGAAGGTTCTGGGTTTGATCCCTGGGTTGCCCGGGCCTTTCTGTGTGAAGTTTGCATGTTTCTCCCTGTGTCTGGATGGGTTTCCTCTGGGCGCTCTGGTTTCCCCCCCCCATCATCATCCCAAAACATGCTACATAGGTTTCCAGTTGATAGTCATGGTCAGTTAAATGCAACCCCAATTCCAATGAAGTTTGGCTGCTCTGTAAAACTTAAAACACAGAATACCATGATTTGCAAATCCTTTTCAACCTATATTGAACTGAATAAACTACAAAGACATATTTAATGTTCAAACTGATAAACATTATTGTTTTTATGCAAATATTCACTCATTTTCAATTTGATGCCTGCAACACGTTCCAATAAAGCTGGGACAGGGGCAACAAAAGGGAAAGTTGGGGAATGCTTAAAATCCACCTGTTTGGAACATTCCACAGGTGAACAGGTTCAGTGGAAACAGGAAACAGGTGAGTGTCATGATTGGGTGTAAAAGGAGTTTCCCCAAAGGGCTCAGTCATTCACCAGCAAGGATGGGGCGAGGTTCACCACCTTGTGAACAACTGTGTGCGCAAATAGTCCAATTGTTTAAAAACAACATTTCTCAACATACAATTGCAAGGAATTTTGGGATTTCATCATCTACAGCCCATATATCATCAAAAGATTCCGAGAATCTGGAGAAATCTATGCATGTAGGAACGTTGGAACGTGCTGCAGACATCAAATTGAAAATGAGTGAATATTTGCATAAAAACAATAAAGTTTATCAGTTTGAACATTAATATCATGTCTTTGTAGTTTAGTTGCACATCATTTTATTGTTTTTTTTACACAGCATCCCAACTTCACTGGAATTGGGGTTGTGCAATCAATCAATGAACCTGCCCAGGGACTACAGGTGGAAATTTGCACTAGTGCTACAACTTGGTACAATGCATTTCTCCTGTTAAGGTTAATGTAAAAAATTGTGTACTGTCCTTGTCTCAAATAAATAAATTAGATTTTACATTACATTTAAAGAATGCATTTGGCCTGTCTTGAACATTGACAGTGCAGCTTTTTAAATAACCCTCAACTTAATGTTTTTCACTTTTTCCTTCCAAACATGCTTTGAGACATAGGATTGACTGTTCCTTAAAAAAGATACCATGTCAATAAGTCATTTCATCTTTTCAATCATAATTCAACTAAAATCTAATGGAATGGCTCCAGCTCCAGGTCTGCTTTTTGTATAGCATATGATTAAACTGAGATTAACTGAGTTGTAAGATGTTTATTATTGAAAAAAAAAAAAAAAACACACTGTACATTATAAATAAAAATCTTTGTAAAATATTTTTTAAGTATACATCCACTTCTTTGAAAATGTTTTGGTGTGACACTGGTTTATTTTTCCTTGTCATTGTGGGGCACATTGATTACACATGTCAGACAGGTAGGTTGTGAAAAAGCTTCAGTCTTATGGCAAGTTATCCAGCTAATTAAAGAAAATGATTATGATTACAATTTATAATTACTAGTCTAAAATGCTACATTCAGTGTACCTGTACTAACCGATCAGTACGCGTATTATACTCCAGTACATGCTTTAAATGTGGCATCCCTTCAAATCCTTTTCCGGCCAGCACATAGATTCTCTCTCCCACAGCTGCACATTTTAGACTCACCCCTCGCCACGGTACTGGTGATGCACTATGCCACTGGTTACGGTCAGTGTCATAGTACTCCACAGATTTCAGTCCTCCTAAAACACACATATGCATTTTAAACTGTATTATGTCATTTCAAAACATTATTTTGTATTCAAAAATTCTACCTGTTGCCCCTTGCCCTCCAATAGCATAAATCCTATTGTTAACCACAACTAATCCATGGTTCTTCCTGGCATCTTTCATTCCACATATCTTACTCCATCTGAGGTTATAAACAAAACATTAAATGTTTGGCATAGAGGGCAGTCATTTAAAATCTTACTCACTGCTCAATGTTTGGATCAAAGACTTCACAATTGTTGAGGATTCTGCTGGATACACTGGTACTGTGAGTTCCACCACAGACATAAATGAGGCCATTTACCTCCACAGAGCCGTGGTCACGCCGTGCAACCAACATTTTGGGCTTCACGTGCCACAACCTTGTCTTTGTGTCAAAACATTCAAAGACAGTCACAGTGGACTGGCCTTTTAAAAAAAAAAAAAAAAAAAAAAAAAAAAAAAAAAAAAGGAGAAAGGCATTAAGGTTGTGGACAAAAAAAAAAAAAAAAAAAGAGAAAAAAAAACTAAATTCTTGACTGACCAATAACTCCACCAGATGTGTAAATTTTTCCATCAGAGGCACAGGTAGCTACAAACTCCCGATTTGTGGGTGGAGCAGACAGTAACTGAATCTTTCTCGTCAGGACATTGTAGGCAGCCATTTGATAGGCCCTGTGCCCACTTGTAATGTAGATCACATTATTACAGAAAACTGCTGTGCCTTTTTGACTCTTAATAGATGCGCTCCCAACTTCTGTCCAGGCACACTCCTGAAATTAACTAAATGTTAACATTGTTAAATTGTTAAAAGCACACTGAGTACTTATGTTGTCAGTATCACCTTAGGGTTAAAGTAGTAGCAGTTTGTAGTCTGTAACCGGGGGCTTCCAAACACAGCGATTATGTGGTTGCATTTGTTGCGTCGAGGCTGAAGCTGCTGTTGGTCAGGGGCCAGGTGGCATCTCAGTCCACCTTGTTGTGCAATTAAATGTATTTACGGTCCCACACAAACAGTCATAGATTACATTGTAGTACTTTCCAGAATTTACTCACTCATGACCATCTTTAGCCATTGTGGGTTGTCCTGCATAAGGGGTTCATCCTGTAGAATCTTGTACAGGAAAGTCTTGGAAACAAATGGAAAACGAACACATCCCAGCACCTCCGCAATATACTGCTTTCTGTTGCAGACATCGTACTTGAGCCAGTGTACAGCTGCATTATAAATCTGAACGCAAAGTGAGATGTGTTGGTAATATTTCTGTATAATTCACATGAACTTAATTTAGATTTGACCTTTTACCTGAGCCTCAGACTGAACAGCAAGCTGGTCCTGGTGGAGAAGATGAGCAAGTCGAGTCACATCAAGCATCAGAAACTCTTCCTGCTTATAAACTTCAGTGAAATGCAACAGCACAAAGTCTTCTGCTACTGCCTTTAGTTCTGCACAATTCAGATAGTCAGCTAAGGCAGAGATTCCTGCAAGAGGACCATCATTTATCTTAAAATTAATTGCCTAAAAATACTGAATGTATGTACGCCCTTACCAAGGCAGTTTGTAGCATCAATCTGTCCTTTAATAAACTCCACACACATTTTCTTCACTGGCTCGAGCTGGTATTGGTTAGCTGCATCCAACAATGACTGGACATTACTGCTGTTCACCAAGATCCTTTTACCACAGACAGAGGTTTCCACTTAACATGCTCTAGGTACAGTGTATTTGGTGCTGATGAGGTCAAGTTGCTCATTTACTTACTTGGCTGTGTAGATGAATTCAATCAGTAGCTCAACGATGGTAGGTTCGGCACCCCTCAGTTCCACCTCTTGTGACGTATACTCCATCATTTTAGCTGCAACCAAACTTTAAGATTCAGTAAAAGGTAAGTAGGTTTTAGGTTTAAAAAACTTTCAACTGGCAAAACTAACAGATCAACCTCACAACGGTATGTTTTGTCATATGCGTGGCGATAAAACCTATATGTGTAACCTATAGCCTATTTCAGCAATCAGTCATAAATATGAACGAACTCACTGGTGAACATCAGCCTGAAGAAATGGCTCGCAGCTGCAAGCACAGCTCGGTGGGCAGCGAAAGACTTCCCTTGGACCACCAGAGTCACATCACAAAGAGTTTCCTGTTGAAATCGCAAAACTCATTGCAGGCCCCATGTCCACATTGAAATGTATGAAGTTTGCACGAAGTAAAAAAGACTGTATAACCTGTTTCCTCATGTTGTTCAGGTTATCCATGATGGTTGCTTGGTGTTGATTGTGGACCTCCATAGCGCATTGTCTCTTTAAGGAGGCAGCGTTTTTGGGAATTGCAGAGGTCATAATATGCAGAATTCACTTGCAACACTGAGATAACTTCAGAGCAAACCAGAAGCACATTATTCAGGTGAAATCATTAAACCAATCTCCTCGGACCTTTATTTGCATGTTCACGTGACAGAAGTCACATGGTGCTGCTTTTGTGTACTAAAATCTAATTTATAGCACAACAATGGAGATTATTTTTCAATATATAACTGGGCCCCCAGTATTCAAAAATGTCTTTGTTGTGAACCCTAATTGCAACATTGAGAGATAGTAAGTAACTGTAGAACTACAGTAAAACACTAGATGGCGTTGTACTACCAGATCTGTCATCATCATCATCCTCATCATTATTAGGCCCGAGCGCCAGAGGCTGGCGAAGGCCCCGACAGGGCTTAGGGCCTATTGCTTCCGCTAAGCGGAGCGAATGGGGAGCGACGTGCGCATGTCCGAATGCAACAAGACCACATGCAACTATGTCCACGGTCGCCCCCGGCACGAACAGCAGTATCCCAGTAACCCACGTCCAAGGCCGGGCTCATATTTACTACTGCTAAAATGAATGGAAGTCAATGGATGGCCATGGGTGACCTCGACGAGATGGCGAATGACGAGCGCGTCAGTGCCCGTCACTCACCAATGACCCCACGGTGACGTGGGAAAGGTCGAGAGCTTTCAAAAAACGTATAATATGTTGTTCTAATGTTTTCGGATATATTGTTTTTGCTCGAATTATTATTATTTTATTTTAATTATTTTTCTTCTTCTTCTTTGAGCTGTAATTTGACCCCTTAAACACGTTCAAAAACTCACCAAACTTGGCACATTATTCAGAAGTGGCGAAAAATTCGATAAAATATAGGTTTCGTGGGGCATAAAAAAATGGTGACACAGCGCCACCTGGAAAAGTAAAAAATTTTGCCCCTATGGGAGACAAATTTGGGAATTAAATTCTATGCATGATTATGAGTAAAAAAGTATATTATGGACATGGGGAATTTTTCACTGTTGGCCAGCAGGGGCGCAAAGACTCCTCCAAAAAATATAAAATAATATATTACACGCACATGCTTTGTCCGATCATGCTGAAATTTGAATCATTAATGCATGATCTCAGTCTGAATATAATACACTATAAAACATATGAAAAGTGAACACTATAGCGCCCTCTACCATAGACATGAAATGTCAACATTGTCGGATCTGCACCAAATTTGGGAATTACCTTTTATGCATGATTACGAGTAAAAAAGTATATTATGGACATGGGGAATTTTTCACTGTTGGCCAGCAGGGGGGCTAAAACTCCTCCCAAAAATAGAAAAAATATATTACAAGCACATGCTTTGTCCGATTGTGCTGAAATTTGAATCACTAATGCATGATCTCAACCTGAATATAATACACTATAAAACATATGAAAAGTGAACACTATAGCGCCCCCTACCATATACATAAAATGTCAGCATTATCAGATTTGTACCAAATTTGGGAATTCAATTCTATTAATGACTAGAAGCAAAAACATATATTACTGACATGAGCATTTTTCAAGGTTGGCCAGCAGGTGGCGCAAAGAACATTTAAAGGAGCACTATGTAATTTCACCGTTTGCAGGCATACAGTTTGCGGACACGGCGTTTAGGGTATGGTATGGGCGGGGCGCACCATTTGCGGCCACGGCGTTCGCGGGCGCGGCGGGCGAGGGCCGTTCGACGCCGCTTGCGGCTTTAATTTTTTATTTTTTTTTCCTAACCAACTCACCCATTTTTCTCCCACTAAACAATGACGAAAAGTCCTGGAAATTTTGCCATCTGGTAAAACTCGCGCTTCCCTACGTTTTGGCTATTTTCATTTTCCAAAAATATAAAATGGCTCGTCAGCGCCCCCAAATGACCCAAAAATGCATTAGTTAATACAAATGACACAAAAAAAAATTTTCACGTACAATCATGAAATTTGACACTGAAGTCGATCATGTCAAGACAAGCAAAAAATATTATTACACCAACACCGTGCGCTCCACTAGGGGGCAGCAATATTGGCGGAAATTTTGCTAAGCTTTTACGAACTCCTCCGAGGGCGTTCACCCAAACAAGCTCAAATTTGGTCCACATTATCTCAAGACGTGAAACATCAAAAGTTATTCAAATTGTTCACACACGTCTTACGGTCTCTGAGCAGTGAAGCAACAAAAAATGCATACAATTTTGGAGATTTACAAATTGCTCCCATTTGCTCAAACGAACTCCGATTTCATTGAAATTTGAAACAGTGTTAAACTCTCTGCCCTGAAGCTACTTCATGTGGAAATTATTAATTTGGCGCATTAGCGCCCCCTATAGATTGAAACAAAATTTAATATGGAAGAAAATCATTTGTTCCCAAATAGTTGTTCAAAAATTTGTGAAATTTTGCACAAAATTCCATTTTGGCATCCTGATCCAAAATTCAATGACATCCATGTCATATTTTTTATGGCGTTGCCATAGCAATGACATAAACTCTCCATTGATAAAATCTACAAATTCTGGCACAAAACTTTGGCCGATTTCACTCAAATTTTATCGTTGATTGACACCCCAACCCTGAACAGATTAATATAAGAAAATCTCCAATGGGCACAATAGCGCCCCCTAGGGAAATTGCATGGTAGTGCAAACATTTACTTCATTGTAGACATATAAAATTTGGTAGACAGATTCAGGACTTGGTCTTGATCAAAAAAGTCAATGACGACCCCATGCCATTTCCCATCGTGTTACCATGGTGACAGGCTAAACATCTGCCCTCGCCAATAGGATGCCCAACAAAAACTTTGGCGTAGCCAAACCAAATTTGGTACACAGATGCATCATGGGAATAGGAACAAAAAAGTATATTACGTGGTTGCTAGGCAACCAACAGGAAGTCAGCCATATTGGATTGATGGTGTGACCTGTCCTCGTACTTGAACGAACTCATCCTAGGGCGTTTGACCCAGACAGAATCATTCTGTATCATCTAGACAAGTGGGACATTAAAAGTTGTTAAAAGCTTTTTAAAAGGTCACACGGTGTTGCCGTGGCAACGGTGCAAATTTCGGGTTTGTTTTTAGGGCTCACCATCAAACTTCAACGCCTGATAATTTGCACAAACTTTGTCCGATTTCACTCAAATTTTAATCGTGAGTTCACACCTCAACCCTGAACAGACTGATGTAAGTAAAGAGGGTGCAATAGCGCCCCCTAGCAATTTGCACAAACTTTGGCTGATTTCACTCAAATTTTAATCGTGGGTTCACACCCCAACCCTGAACACATTGATGTAAGAAAATACAAAAATGGGTGCAATAGCGCCCCCTAGAAAATTTGTATGTAAAAATAAGGTTTTATTTGTCACAGATATACAACATTTGGTACCCACATTTGTGACATGGTCTCGATTAAAACACTCAATGATGCTCACATCTCGTTTACATTGTGTTGCCATGGCAACAAGCCAAAATTGGATCCTTGCCAATGAAATGTCCTTACACTAACGTTGGCATAGCCTAACCAAATTTGGTAGCCAGATGCATCATGGCAATAAGAACAAAAATGTATATTGTGACCACGCCCCTTTACAAACCGGAAGTCCGCCATCTTGGATATTTTTTTTGGCCAAATTTTGAAAATTGCAGGGTTAAATTAAGATTTATAGGGCTAGGGTTGGCGCTATGGTTAGGATTACGATTAGGGTAAGGTTTAAGATTAGGCTTATTCGGGTCAGTGTAAAGTGTGGCGTTTGCGGGGCGCGACGTTTGCGGGGCGCGGCGTATGCGGGGCGCGGCGTAAGCACGTGCGAGGGCCGATCATTGCCGCTTGCGGCTATATTTATTATTATTATTATTATTATTATTATTATTATTATTATTGAACTACATAGAAGCCAGTAATTGCAGGGATTGGAGATATTTTAGGACCATATAGACTGTGATGTGATGTACTGGGACATGGTCAGAGAATGAAGACGGTCACTTGAATGGATTTTAGGAGCTTTAATTACCTTTCTTCTATCTTTTTATCTGTCTGTCTGTCTGGTAATCTATCCTTTCGTCTGGTAATGTGGCTTTTCACCTGTTATCTATAAAACATTTGAATTATATCACTAACTGAAAATGTCATCTTGTGAATAACTGTTAAACAGTTTACATCAACAATCCCTCAAAATATATAAATTAAACTAATTAATCAAGTTAATTAGCATCAGAACCTTGCACAGCAATTAAAGAGACAATTAAATAAATATTTACAAACCCACCTCTATCACAGACGCGGCTTAAGATTGGTTTTACATTTAGCGGCCCCGTCGACTGCATATTCTAATAATCTTGCAAATTTCTCTAATGAATATACATCTAAAAAGCAATTCACATTCATTGGCGTCTAGCCTGTAAAGTTAAAACAACGAATTATTAGGTCTAATAATATATTGTAATATACAGTATATTATATATATTGAATATACAAATTTTTCAGATTTAATTGCAATAAATCTTCAAATACACCGTAAGAGCTGGGAAAACACATAAAAAAATTGTATCAATTTAAAATGCCCCGTAAGTAAACAGTACCATAACGTCAGATTTATTGGTCATTACACATCAATTAACCGTATTCCTATGACAAAATCAAATGAACATTCACGTAGGGTACACAAAATATTACAATCTGTACTTGTATGTAACTTATAATTTAAAACGTACCCTGTCAGAGGGGTAAGTAATGTAAATATTAAGTTGGTTATTTACATTAAACAAAAGAAAGTGCCATAATTGTCATAGTTCATTGCTGACTATATTGGAATGCGCATTTACATTAATGCGTAAGGGGACTTTTGACGGATAATGTGGCTGCCTGTCAAAGAGCAATGACAGAGACAAGCGACAATCTACCGTGTTCGCGGAAATTATTAACATGCGGACCAGTGCTGAAATTCCATTGGCTACCTATACGGGAGGCGCGGCCGTTTCTTTTTAATGTCAGCTCATGATTGGTCCGTGAAGCTGTCAATCATTTACATTTGCGCCTCTGTGTTTCAGTAGTTTGAGTGGAGAAAGTAATGAAGATGGAAGGAGCTGGTGAATAATTCAGCAAATTTCTAGAGTTGCGGTGTGATAGACGTTTATTCGCCACATTATTGAAGAATTATACAAGTGAAAAGACGGATAGCATGTCAGTAAGTACATTAACTTTTCTAGTTCCCTTGTTGTCGCGCCCTCTTTGAGCTAGCTAACCAGCTAATCTGTAAGCAACAACCAGTGACAGTTCGGAGTCATTTAGTGAGTTCAAGACTTGACTCATTTACGATCCTCCCCTGGTATAATGAGCAAACACTGTGGAACTTTTGCCTTCGTTTCTATACCCGTAATATACTTGTACTATTCTGGCTACACAAAAGAAAGCGTATATTAATGTCTACGGTGACATTAACTGAAGTCCTCTTGCATGGTAAATTTAAGCTTTGCCTAAATTAGATCGTGTTGTAGACTTGATAATTTTACAACTCTCCCTTGGATGGTGGCAAAGAAAGTCACGATAACTAACTAAACTACCGTTAAGTGTAGCATATATGTGGTTAAATTAAATATACGATGGTGCAGCTGGGTAAACCAAAAGAGCTTTTTTGAACAATCTTTGTTGGTTTGTATGATCTTAAACGGCATTGGATTGTTGGGACATGATTCAAACGGTGTTTGGGAATTTTCCTACAGTATGACCCGTCAGACAGTGTTTCAGTGCATGTATGTGGATGTGGTGTTCCCTCATGTTTTCCTTAAGCTCTTTGCTCTGTTAGATTATGTTTTGCTTGGATTTTTAAAATAAGTATCTGATACAGCATTCCTCTATCAGTCATACCTTTCCTGTGTGAGTTAGTATATATTCAGTAAACGCCACATATCCCAAAGGCATGTGGAACAGCTCTGCAGCCTATGTCCTTCACAAGGACTTCTGCTTCTAAATGGTCCACCAGTTACTATTTGAATTAGATTTGAGGCATGAGTTTATATAGGCTTACACAGGATATTTGCAGCAGTTACAGAACTTTTGTCTGTTTGGTGAATCATGGTTCAAAAGTGGTGCCATTAGTATGTTCATATGAATGCATAGACACACAAAAGCATGTATGCCACCTGAGGCCTTTCCCTTTATTAATGCTTTCTGACAGAACAGCCTAGTGGCGCTTGGAGCAGGACCATCATGTAGGTTCTGCTGTCATTTACAATCATCTGTCATCTTGCCAGTGGATTACTTTTAGTTGCACATTATTTAAAATAATTTATATTTAAAAAAAATCTATAGCTACTCATATAATTTTGAGACATATCATTTCTATGAATTCTATTATTTACAATTTATAAATAGGCCAACACAAAACAAAAACTATTTATCTAAGTTTACATATTTGTTATGCGTGATGGGATGAAAATGCATCAGTGGCTTAAAAGGAACCAGGAGTGTGGATAGGCTGCTTTAAGAGGATTCCTCCCCTGTCAGATCGCCTGTCCTCTTAAGCAAAAATCTCAGACGATCATGTGTCTAGTACAGGGCAGGCACAGAATGCTCCATATATTTTCAGGCGACCCGTTGTTGCAGAGAGCCTGGAGGCAGGGCAAAGTGGAAGTTGTGAGGTGGCGGGGATGACAACAAGTCAGGTCAGGACAGTTTGAGCAAAGGACAAACACAAACTAAAGAGATGGTAAAATGTTTGAGCCGCATGAAGTGTTTCAAGCGGTGCCTGTGCCTCTGAGAGTAGATCACTGTGAGTGTTGGCTGCTGCTCAGGGGCCTGTTAGAAGATCTGTATCATTATATAAGTCCACCCCAACCACAAAAGCTCAAAATAGTTTTTTCAATATTATGTACAAATACAATTTCTTGTAAAACATTCTGGGTTAATGTCAGAAGAACTAAGGATTATTGTTAGCATTCAAATTTTTGAGCTTTCAGTAATGGATATAGGTGTTACTAATATACTCTGTTGTTGTTTGAACCCTGTAACACAGGAAAAAGCAGCTGATGCAGCTCTGCCTCTTTCGAAACCTCCCACCTGATCTTTTTTCCCCTCTCTAGAAGCTGCTTTATTCTTATTTTCCTGGAGAAACCAAAGGTTCCACAAGTAACTGAAGCAATGGATGTTTTGTCTCTAGTTGTGTCATTCTTTTGATGTGTTCTGCTGTTGGTTTTGGCAGGTAGGACATGAAGACATCATTTGCTGTTGTAATGCTGCAGAGCATGCCTGTATTACTCAGGTTTGGTGTTTGAGCCTGGGGTGTGACATGGCCACTGTGTCAGGACCTGCCTATACAGTTGCAACAAGGATTTGGAATGTAAACACAAAAGACTTGTTGATTGTTGGATTGAACTTTAAGAGGAACTTTAAGAATCCCAGTGCGCTCATCCACACAGCTGTTTTTTCTCTGTACTATTAAGGGTGTCATGATACACCAAAATAATTGCATGGGATCTGCAATAAAGCATAGATAGCTCAGTAGTATATCACGCTTTTCTAGTTTAATACTGGTAAAGTTGATGAAATCTTTCTGTGTGCATAGAATGTGAGTGGAGCTATAGTTAGTCACATAAGGACATTCTTTCCTTTTTTATGAGGGTACTGGACATGTTCCTCATTTAAAAGTAATTGTTTTAAATTGGCTAGTATTCTTTTAATATTGATGGCAGACTTCCTGTGCAGACCTACTGAGCAGTATTGTGGGTCCTATGAATCAATAGTATATAGATTCTTGACCAAAACAAGTAATTTAAACCCCAGCAAAGAAGACAAATGTGGGTGTTATTGGAGGAAAGGGAGCTGTCAAGTTCTTCCACTAACAGGAACACATTTTGAAAAAAGGCAATAATCACATTTACAAATGCGCACTTTGCAGATCGTGACACATTCCCAGACACTCTGCAGTCTGTGTCTTCCTTTTGCTAGAGTGAGCTCCAACTGGAACACTAAATGTGGTTAAACACAGAAGTATTGTGACAACAGCGGTGTGTGTTTCACAAGCACTACCTATCTGGTGTTGTCAGTTGGGCATTGAGGCGGTCGGGTGCAACACATTTGTAAACCTAATGAACTCTTTTATTGACCCAGTGTTTTCCATTCACTCTGGTTATCTGTCCCTCGAGCCATCATACCTTTTATCCTCCAGCCCTGTGCATCCATTTACATCTCGCCATTTCATTTCTCTATTGATCTGCACTCCTGCTCATGTTTGAAGGCTTGTTATTGTTTGGTAAGGTGACCCGTTGAACCTGCTGGATCACTTCGTGCTCTATGCTGCTTTATTATGCGCATGTGCATTGTGTTTTTCCAAAGCTAGCACTTATTTCTCATCAAATGTTTTCACTCACAATGCAATGCTTTTAGCAGACCAAAATCATTACAACTTTTAAAAGTAAGAGATATGATTAGATAGAGATCAGCTGATATGTTTTATTTTGCTTTTTTTTCCATGACTAATGCCAACACAGTTGTTTAGAGCCCAGAGAACCCAATATGAAGGCTTATTTTAGCCTCCATATTTTTTTTTTTTTTAATTAAAGCAAACTCATCCACAGCCTTGCTGAAAAGTACAAAGGTTGGCCACATCAGACTATCTCTATTAGATTATAGAAATACTCACTATCTGATTGTAATAATCATTATATAATATGATAAAATAAGAATGAAAGAATAAGCTGCAATGTTTTTTGAAGCATGAATTGGTGCATTTTTGTTAAGGTGAGCTAGCTTGTATTCTGACTGCAAGCACTGTACTTTTATGCTTTTGTCATAGGCAGGGCAAAAATCCAGTATTATTACATTTATACATAGATTCTAGTAGACCGTTGGTCTATGCAAAAACACATATGCATGTTTGACTATTGCTGGAAAGGAATGAACAGTCAGAAATAACCCACAGGTAGGCAGCAAGAGAAGCAGGAGGCGGGTACCAGCAGAGTGCATTTCAGGAGGCAGTGAATACAGACAGCCCAGACTGCACAAGAGTACCGTTTATTGGGCACTTGAAATCCAAAGCCAAGCTGTGTAGGAGGAGGAGAGCCCTGTCTGTTAGTGCACTGACTCATCCACTCAGTAATCACAGTCTTTATTATGCAGTCTGCTTTAAAACGGACACGCTGGGTTAGGATACCGCCCTCCTCGCCCTCACTGCCAGCTCTGAAGAACAGAACAGCCAGCAGTTACAAAAGACTTATTTCTCTAAATTATTATTCGGCTGTATTATCCTTCTCCTAATTTCATGAGTCACCAGCTCCCCCTCCCCCTGTGTCATTTCTGCTATTGGCGTTGTCCATAAATAGACACCTGGCTGCCATGAAGGAGCAGAAATCAGAGGTAAAAAACCATTACGAGGCTTTGCCTGGCATTTGTGATCACCATATTTAAAAAAATATATAAAAAATGAGAGGAAGACTGTGCAAGATTAGGAGAAAAAGATGGGGAAAGAAGAATTACTTTGTTCTATGCTCTGAGAAAAGTGATCAGTGAAAAATGGTTCAAATGAAGAGACCAAGCACAATACATTCGAGTGAATTACCTCTTTAAAAGAATCTTTTGTACAGGTTGATTTTTCAGATGTCAGATTTGATTGATCTTTTGTTGATACTTGATTTATCCAGTAATTATTTCGATGACCTTCTTGATACTTGACAGCAACCTCACACTGGGGGTGTATTACACGTATCTGTGTATCTGATGGAATGTTCAGTAATTTCCATGGTGACACAATGCACACATTAGCAAACGCTGCCAAAGAAGATATTTAAAATATTTGAAAACTCAAGAAAAATTACAAAATGTATTTAAACAACACATATTCACTAGCCTGTGATCAATAAGAGCTTTTTAAGTATTTGATTTTCAACAAAAACTATTGGCTAATGCTAACTAGCTTGTGACCATAATTTCATGTGTGAGGGACTCGTTTAACTGCCCAGATCATCTCACCTGTTATAGTTCTAACTAAATCAGTTATTTCTGGTCAGATAGAGCAGTGCTTACAGTTAGCTTCACACCTCCAGGGAATGTTGATGACATCTGATGCAGAGTATCAATTGCTGCTCATTTTGTAACTTTTCAGAAAGTTAATAATTCTGTGTTGTGTGTCGTTCTGTGTTGTGCATTCATAAACTATATGAAGCAAGTGGCTCTGGCATGGGTAATGT